CTATGCGATGTATGACACTTCTGCTTGGAGCGCTTGGACCAGGACATCAACCCACACGCTGTGAGCACGCAGCCACTTGCTGATGAACTCGCTGACCTGGTGCCGTGCCAAGCCTGTGCGCCTCACCAAAGCATGCTGACAGCCAGCCCAGCTACGGCGTCGTCGCCCGGCGCTGAAGAACCAACGAGTTCGGGTCTCTGCCGCGATAGCCTGCAGAATGATGGCTACGAGCGGCCTGACGTTTGTACCGGCCAGGCGGTGGAATCCATCCTGTGCGACGTAGTCGGGCACGCTGACAGCCAACAAAGGCATGGAAGCAGTAGCTTGCGCGAACTCACGGTACCATCTACGCCATCCCGTCCGCAGGGTAATGAGCTCAACCGTGCGCAAATTCGTCAGACGCAGCTGGGTTGAGCGCAAAACGGGCAACACAAGAGTTGACATCGTCTGGCCAGGGCATGGTACCAGTCTCAGTTCCGACAACGGGCATGATGCCTTTGCCTTGTCCACGAAGTGGCAGAGGGGCTCGCCAGAACTTTGAACAATGCAGCCGTGCAGTGAGTGGTTGAGCTTATGGGAAAGTTCATCGACATCTGCGGCCCAAGGGAGGGAAGCCGCGACTGCACCAATTCGTTCACCAGTCAACGCCTGGATGAACTCAATTTCCAGCGACATGGCTGCGACGCGTGTAGGTTGCTTTGGCATGTGATAGTAAATTTCCACAGTTTCAGCGCAAATGCATTTCAGGAGCTGTCTTGATATCTGAGCAAGTGTGACCTGAAAAGCCAATGACTGTGGCCTTTTGATTCCTACATGCTTATATACTAAAAGGCTGCAGCTCTTTGTGCTCAATGCGCTGCGGGCGTCTCATAGGACATAGGATTTGCACTTGCAGATTTGGGCATTGTCGCTGCTGAGCCTTCTCAACTGCGCGTCCTGTAATGCTTCTTCGTCTTGCAATGCTTCGCTTGCGGGTTTTGTCGCTCTCGACCTGGATTAAGGGTGGGTGCCTCAAATGTCAAACGCTTGGTAAAGGGAAACTGCTAAAAGGTTGATGCCTCAAACATCCCAAGCGAAGCCTGCCCCAAGTCCCCAACCAACCACATGCACATAAGCCATAAGCCCCAAACGGAATTTCAGCCTGGGTCCGCCCTGTAAGCACGAAACAACCAGCAACGCCACGACATCTCACCTCCTCGTTCTCTTGTCACAGCAACTATCCTAACCTAGGATGGCCATTCAAACCGTCTGAAAGATAACTCCTGGAAAATGGTCCTCTTAAACCCAACAAGGGGAAAAATGCAAAATCTCCCCAGGGCCCACCTAGTAACCCCGAGCCCTAGATCCTCGAACCACCGCGTTGAGCGACGAGGCAAGGAGCTTCTCCATCGGCGCGGAGGCGAATATGAGGGCCAACTTGTATAGAGTAGCTTGTAGAACTGCAGATAAGTCCTAAATTGTATGGCGAAAACGATGCTACTTCTTTTTCTCTGATACACAACATATCTTAACTTACTAGAACTATTGAAGCTCCTGTGGTCAGATGGGGTCTACTGGGCGCTTTACCTCCAGTGTGGTTGGGCCAGATGGTTCTCAGGTCTGGGTGCATTGTTTAGGGTTTACGGTTTGGGGGGCAAGCTGAGCTTGAAATGCCGCAAGCGCAAGATTGTGTGGTGGCAGTTTCGCGCTCCTGGTCCAAGAACGCTAACGTGCCCAAAGCAGACCAACCAACCTGTTTTGCAGCCGCCCTTGCCCCCACCCCCCCCCCCCCTTCCACTGAGCAATGCTCAGTTGCTAGTGCACTATCTCAGTGCTGCCGCATTATGCAAACTAGTAGAAGGACAAGGCACCGCTGCGTAATGGAGCCCTTCTTCAGTTCTGAGGGCCTTTAGCACTTCTTCAGTGCCAATGCCTTCGGAGACCGGATGTCAGTAGGGCAAGGTTCCTCCGAACACAGACCCCCCCCCTGCTGCACTTGTTCAGTGCCTCGGCACTTCCTCAGCGCCCATGCCTTCGCATGCTTGTACTTACTATTAAATGAGTATATATATATATATATGTATATGTGTCTGTATGTTCATAAACAATACATCAATATCGGATACCGGGTAAGGGTTAGGGTGTAGGGTTTGGGGCTTGTGGCTTCAATGGCTACAAGCCCTTAAGGGATCTCCGGACCAGAGCCTCTGAAGGCCGATGGTCGATCCAATCCTGGCAAGGCTCCCTAAGGCCTAATTTAGGGTTTAGGGTTTAGGGTTTAGGGTTTAGGGCCTAGGGTAAGCCCTAAGCCCCAAGGCCTATAAGCCCTAAGCCCTGAGCCCTGAGCCCTAAGCCCTAAGCCCTAAGCCCTAAGCCCTAAGCACTAAGCCCTAAAATCCAAAAGCCCAAAAGCCCTACTTCAGCCCCGAACCACCCTTGGGCTAAAAGGACTCAGGGTCTGGAGTCTCTTGGGCTTAATGGAGTGCAAATCTTCTGCAAAGCCTCTCTGTAGCCCAGTAACCATATGATAATAAGGGCGCCTTTTGTTGGGGGTTGGACCTTGAACCGAAAAAAAGGCAATAGGGTATACCTAGGGCCTGAGTACACTCCGCTGTCTTGGGGTTGGGTTGAAGATCAGGGCCTTGAGGGCCTCACATGCATGGATCTTCGCGGCGAACATCCGAGAGAAAAGTCCATAACGCCAAAAGGGAGCGTATATGCGGTTTAGGGTTTAGGGTTTAGGGTTTAGGGTATAGGGTTTAGGGTGTATGTAGCCAAGAAATACGGCTCATCATGTGGGGCGGCTATTTGGCGTGCGCGCTTCTCATCCTGTTTTTTGCAGTGGGGACCCTGGTTCGAGCGTTTGTGCTCTCACCCTAAACCCTAAACCCTAAACCCTAAACCCTACACCCTACACCCTACACCCTAAACCCCAGCACCGAACTGGAGGTCAATAGGTAGGTGGCTGGTAGGGTACTTGAAAGCCCTTGTTACTTGGTAAGTAGGGTTGGTAAGGTGGGTTATTCGGATCATAAGAGGGTTTCTAGGGAACACCAAGTAGACTTGCTAAGTCAAACGAGCTGCCAAGTGGGGGACTTATGGGGACTATAAGAGGGTTTCTAGGGGACACGAAGTAGACTTACTAAGTCAAAAGAGGGGAGATATTATCGAGCAGGCCTCGTCAAGGACTCACCTCTCCAAACAACCAAACAAGTCTAAGTCCGCACCGCATGATAAACAAAAAAAACCTAAACCCTAAACCCTAAACTCTGAAACCCTAAACCCGAAAACGCCGACTGCCAGCACTGTGCATCCCGTCTGTCCTCGGCGACAGGATGCCAGGAGGCGCAGGCATGCGGATTTAGGGAGCTGATGCCTCGCCGATGTGGTGTGGCTAGTTGCTCGGCGCATTCCTAGGATTATAGACCCTAAACCCTAAACCCTGAACCCTAAACCCCAAACCCCAAACCCTAAATCCTAAACCCTAAACCCAGCGGAACGCAGGACAAATGAGCCCTAACGACCCAAAGACCATAATCAGAGCCATGCAAGCACCTGCGGCCGTCACCTGGAGCCAGCTCTTGAGGGTTGCACACGGCACATGGTCGCGCCCCACCCCCCCCCCAGATGGGAACCAAAATTTCTCAAATTACACTACAGGCCAGTCCCGTTGTTCGGAGAAACTACTACTTGAAGAGCAACCCTAAACCCTAAACCCAAAACCCTAACCCTAAACCCCAAAACCCACGAGTGACACGAGTGATGCCTCTGGCAGTCTGCAGCCCTGGTGGTAGACCCCACTTGGAGGTTCATGGTACTTACAACCCAGTTATAACGGTGCAAGGCTTAGGGTTGAGGGTTTAGGGTTTAGAGTTTGGTGATATAACCTGGTTATAACTAACTGTACTTAAAAGCCACTTATAAGCCCTAACCTAAGTGCCCTAACATGGTTATCATGTGATAATTGGGTGAATAAGTAGCATGAACCTCCAAGCCTATCCTGAGAGCCCTTGAAGCCCGCACGTCCTCAACCCGATGTTGTAGGCGCCCCAAAACCTAGGTTGCCCGGTAACCTAGGATTAAAAAGTGTGCCCCGTTGTTACAGGGCTTTATAAGGGGACCTAAACCCCTAAACCCTATAAACCCTATAAACCCTATAAACCCTATAAACCCTATAAACCCTATAAACCCTATAAACCCTATAAACCCTATAAACCCTATAAACCCTATAAACCCGATAAACCCTATAAACCCTATAAACCCTATACACCCTATAAACCCTATGAACCCTATGAACCCTATACACCCTATGAACCCTATGAACCCTATGAACCCTAAACCTTAAACCCTAAACCCTAAGAAAGGGAACAAGGGTAAAGAAAGGGAACAAGGGTACTACTGGGCATCCTAGACACCCAAGGCAATGCATCATCGACTCCTAACAGCTGAACCCTAAACCAGGGGGGAAACCCGCCTCAACCCTGAAGCCTGAACCCTACACCCTGAATCATGAGAGAATCCAACAAAGTCAAATCCCCCCCCTCCCCAACCCCAACCCCTCCCCCGTCCCCTCCAAGTTATCTAGAGTAGCCTAGGAGTAAAGGAATAAGGGGCTTATAAGGAACCTATCCAACAAAAAAAACGAATAAGTAGTAAGGGCCTACTCTGGGTCCTAATAGCCCTAAACCCTAAACCCTAAACATCTACTAGTGGCTAGTTTGTAACTTGACGGGACACTTGCCCCTCTCTGCGCACCACCTTAAAACCTGAGCCGCCTGAATCCACAACTCTCCGAAAGCCGAAGGTTTAGGGTTTAGGGTTTAGGGTTTAGGGTTTAGGGTTTAGGGTTTAGGGTTTAGGGTTTAGGGTTTAGGGTTTAGGGTTTAGGGTTTAGGGTTTAGGGTTTAAGGTTTAGGGTTTAGGGTTTAGGGTTTAGGGTTTAGGGTTTAGGGTTTAGGGTTTAGGGTTTGCAACGGAACCGAACTCTGAAACTCACAGCTTTCATGGACTTAGGGGTTGGCGAAAGGCGTAGGATTGTCACTATGGAGCAAGCTCACTAAGCCCTAAACCCTAAACCCTGAACCCTAAACCCTGAACCCTAAACCCTAAACCCTAAACCCCAAACCGGTGATAGGTATTTAGGAGTGAGGAGTCCAGTGCCTGGCGCCAAGGACAGCTCGGTACCCGCGCACTTCAGCCATGGCCATGGAACTGCTAAGGATGACGGCTTCTGGCTTCAGGGCTGAAGGATGTTTAGGGTTTAGGGTTTGGGGTTTAGGGTTTAGGGTTTAGGGTTTACGGTTCAGGGATGAAGGACGAGGAGGAAGCCGGCAAGGTGAAAGGCAGGCGGGTGCGGAAGGCGACGGAAAGAAGGGGACGAGGCACAAGCGCTCCAGTGGTGAGAAAGGGCGAGGTGAAGAACGAGCCTAAAGCCTAAATTCAAGCGAGCTGTGGACGCTGCGATGAGCAGCAGTGAATGGCTCTCATCCACGCCTATCTCTGAGGGTGGTGTGAGAACATAATTCCACATTGAAAGACGGGACCACTGCATACCAGTGGAGCGGCAAGCTCAGCTGGATTCAGCTCATGGCAACTTGCAACCAGATGAAGCCAGGTAGCTGGGTGAGCTGCATCTCTTCTCCTTTGCTTAGCTGTAAGTCTTTCCTTGCTCATCTTGTAACTTCTCCCGCTTTCGGGACTCGAGGCTCTATAAGGGTTGGCCCAAGTTGGCCCTCCCCCCACCGACCTGAAGCTCTGCCTGGAAGCCCTCTCAGGGGTCGTGGACACAATTCTGTCCGATGTTTCGTTCGCCACTAACGTTCCCCGCCCCGTGTCTCACGCTATAGGTGCGGTCGCCTCATCCAGACTTGGCCGTTGTGCTCACCAGGCAAAAATGCCCGGACGTTTCCTCGAGCCGAACGACTTGAGCCGTGGGGGCCTACTTAGGGAGAATAGGGCACCGGGATTCGGTGGAATTTCGAATCTGCCCGCTTTGACGCTTAGAACGAAGCAAACAAGGCCCGACTCAACAGGACGTATAGAACAACGCAAAACGCAAGTTTTCGAAACTTCAGCATTTCCCCCTTCCTCCCTCCGCCGGTTTTCGGGTCGGTCGCCCCTCACACTTCCAGGAATCCGCGTTGGTTCACGGGGTGCCGGTTGCCCCGGGGGGTCCTCGGGTCCCCCTCCCGTGGGCCATTATGGCAAGCATGGAGGCAGATTCAAAATTCATCTAGGTTTTTCTAGCCGGGGGGGGGTGCCCTGCACTGCCCTGTTCGGGTTCCTGCAGGGGCCCCCCTGATACGGAGTTACAGGTAAACTTAACAAATTTTTATTTTTCTTTCCTCGCCCACTTGCCCGCATGCGCCTTCAGGGTCAGGATTCCTATCAGAGTGCCCAGCCTAGGTATGCACAGTAGGACACGCTGAGGCTGTACAGTCTGTACAAGAAACGAAGTGGCAGAGGTGGTCAGAGGTCGGATGGGATGGAGCTGAAAAGGTTGAGGAGTGGGAGGCGCTTGAAGCGGGACAGGTCATGAAGGCACCTGCAAACCCAGAGAGGCCCAATACCCTTGTAGAAGGAATATTCTTAGACCATACAGGGATCCCTCGTATCATTCTGAGGTACATTCCTTATTTGCGAGGCGTTGGGCTCTTTGGGGGGGAGGGCTGCGGGAACAAGAGGGCGCTGTGATCCCGGACTTGCTTTTCTACGGGCCGGATGAAGGGACAGGAATGGAGGATCGGGATGAAGGACATCGGAATGTCCAAGCTGAAGTGCGTTGCAGGCCTTGACAAGCACAGGGATGACCCCCAGGCCCGCTGCCGAAAGCTCGGTGCCTGAAAGGAATGAGTCAGCTCGCGCGGCCTTTGAGCTCGCGACCACCATGCACTTTTGTGTCTCTTGACTGCCGATGTTCGATCTTTTCGCCCAAGAAGCTGGAAGAAGTCTGTGCGAAACCGCTCGCACCCTTGAGTAAGTGTGCACGTCCTTTCTGGCTTTGCCTACCTTGCCTCACATGCCTAACTACTTGATCACTACCCCTAAACCCTAAACCCTAAACCCTAAACCCTAAACCCTAAACCCTAAACCCTAAACCCTAAACCCTAAACCCTAAACCCTAAACCCTAAACCCTAAACCCTAAACCCTAAACCCTAAACGAAGCTCAGGGTGCCAGGGACTTTTTCTTGCGACGGCCAGGATGAATCGCTTTCCGACCTGACAGGCCGATCTCCTCAGCTCGGCCTTAAGATCTGGGTCTTAAGGGTATGAGTAGGTTTTAGGGTTTAGGGTTTAGGGCTTAGGGCTTAGGGCTTGGGGCTTGGGGCTTAGGGTTTAGGGTTTCGGGCTTCGGGCTTAGGGCTTGGCAAGGTCTTAATGCTCCACCCCAAAGCCTTGAGGTCCCCCCTGTTCCCCCTTATCCTAACAGTACGTATTCGGGATTGTAGTACTCCCTAAACCCTAAACCCTGAATCCGTAATCCCTATTAAGCACTTTTAGTAAATGGGGGAACATCCCAACTCATGGGGGGCGTGTCTCAGATGTCTTCGTCGAAGCCAGTCAAGGATGGGCCAAAGTTCTCCTGCGCCACAAGCTTGGTTTAGGGTTTAGGGTTTAGGGTTTAGGGTTTAGGGTTTAGGGTTTAGGGTTTAGGGCTTAGGGCTTAGGGTTTAGGGTTTAGGGTTTAGGGTTTAGGGTTTAGGGTTTAGGGCTTGGTTGGGGTTTAGGGTTTACGGCGTAGGGTTTACGATCTTCTAAACTCGATGCTGTTTGGGGTGTGTAGGGAACAGTGCCCAGCGCTTGATGGGTGATGCAGGAGTGGCTTTCCTGTGCCAAAGTACTTGGGCTCCTGTAGAGGAACTCCTTGGAGGCCCAAGCACCTACGATATGAGTAGTTCTCAAAGAAAGGGGACCCCCCTTAAAGAAGGGTAACCCCCCTCCCCTAACCCTAAACCCTTAAACAGGTACAGAAGTTTTTGGGTCATGGAGTTGATGGGGTGGGTGGGCCCTCAAAGGACACCCAATATGTACACTCTCCAATATTAATAATACTTACTTCTTCAATAACCAAGGAAAAGAGAACTAAGCTTTATAACTCCTTCAATATAAGGCAACCCAGAAAGCTTCATGTTCATCCGTTGGCTAAGTAAGTAAGGAACCCAACCCTAAGCCCTAAACCCTAAACCCTGTTTCTTATCCTTTTCTCATCGCGGTGCAGGCGCAAGTTTAGCGCCGATCGCGATCGGCAGGAGCAACAAGAAAGGCAAAGCAGTGGCCGGACAGGAGGGTTTAGGGTTTAGGGTTTCAGGGTGGCACATGGTGGTATATAGAGTGGTTCCCTAAGCCCTGAACCTGTAGTGAGATATGGAGTATTGAGGCCTTCGACCATTGATAACTATACTGCGCCTCGGCACACACGAGAGTTTCAGAGGCTTTTAGGGTTTAGGGTACTGGTTTGCAGCCGAGCCAAAGACACAACTTAAACGTCTTACGCCCTAAATTGTACATCCAAAACCTTCTAAGTATCCCTACACCTCCAAAAAAAAACGACCAGAGCCCCTGAAAACCCAAAGTGAAGTTCTTGATTTTCTAGGTAGTTCCCACAATTCGGAGGGTATTTCTGATATACCCCAAAAAGTTGACATGCTAATTTGACTTCCCCCTTTTTGGAAAGCCCCATTTTGGATAAGACCAAATGTTCTTTGTGACACTTGGGCCTTTGCTTGGGTCCTTGCTGCAATAGGGCCCATGCGGTGCCCGAGTAAGGTTTCGGGTGTGTGAGTGTGGTTTAAGGATTTAAGGAGAACTGCCCGAAAACAACTTAGACCCTAGACCCTGCAGTCTAGAGCCTACTTGCGGGTTCAGGGTACTTATAACCTCAACTATATCACTGCCCTTAGGTCCTCTAAGTAGGTTGTAAGTAGACTGATACTTGGGGTTATGAGTACCCATGAAACTCCAAGTATAAGCCTATAGGTTCAGGGTTTAGGGTCCGGCACGCGTGTTTGAGTGTCTTGCCCCCTGCCGTCGTCCTCCGTGTGGGTGGCAAGGCCCCCTGATGAGGAGCCTCGTGCACCCTTTTCTTGTGAGAGGGGGGGTTTAGGGTGTAGGGTTTAGGGGGTTCTATAAACCGTTCTGCTCAGCCTGATCAACCCCTGAAGTCCTGAAGTGCCCAAGCCCTCAAACCCCCAAACCTCCCAGAACTGGACCAAGATCTAGAACCAGCACCTGATGGTAAGGTTTTTTGGATTTAGGGTCTAATAAGCTTGGACTTTTGGCCTTGCAGGGATCAAGGTGCCTAAACGGAGTTGGCTTCTTGGCTTCCACGAGGTACTTCAACTACAGGCGGGAGATGTCCCACCAGCAAACCAGACCCTTCGTGTGTGTAGGGCTTCAAACCGAACCTTTGAAACATCAATCCCAAACCGGCGAGGGTCTGGTTGTGGGATCTCACCACAGCCGTCCGACTTTGCGAACGTGCATACTATAGGGGCCTGAAGAATTAATAAAACAGGGTTTTGGGGAGGTGATTATAGTATAGTTATAAAAGGGACCGTAAGGGAATACTATTCGTATTCCGACCCCTATAGTAGCTGAGCTTACGAGAATGCCTTGGGCATCACTCGGATGTGGCAAACGTCGAGTCCCAGCCACTTCCATCCTTCGCGCCGTGTTCCGGAGGAATGGGGTTCAGGGTTTAGGGTTTAGGGTTTAGGGTTTAGGGTTTAGGGTTCAGGGTTTAGGGTTTAGGGTTCAGGGTTTAGGGTTTAGGGCTTGGGTCTAGGGCTTGGGTTTAGGGTTCAGGGCTTAGGATCTATGGGTTCAGTGCGGGCTTGGGGTCTTCAGGTTTTAGGACTAGACGCAGGGTCTTGTGGTATGAGGTATGGGGGTCTTAGAATGTGCTGGGGATTATTGCGCCCCTAGGGCTCAGAGTTAGGGGGTATAAGAAGCTTAGGACTTCGGAGCTGACATGACATGTTGGAGTTGAGCAAAAAAGGGTAAGGCCTTCTTACGCTGGCCCCCCCCACCCCCAGGGTTCACAGGATTATGGAATGTATAGGGTTTATAGGGTTTGTAGGGGTTCGGGTTTGTAGGGTTTATAGGGTTTATAGGGGTTATAGGGTTTATAGGGTTTATAGGGTTTATAGGGTTTATATATGAATGTATAGTAGGGGTTCGGCTTTGTATATGGTGTTTCTATGGTTTCTTCGTATGGGCTTTATCGGGTGTAGGCCTTTATTGCAGGGTTCAGGGTGCCCTCACCCTAAACCCCTAAACCCCTAAACCCTAAACCCTAAACCCTAAACCCTAAACCCTAAACCCTAAACCCTAAACCCTAAACCGCATTTCTGGAACATGCTGAGTGAGTTGTCCTTCTCCTTATTGTACTTCACCTGGCAGGAGACAAACAGCAGGGTTTGGGTCGAAGGCTTAGGCCTTAGTTTAGGGTTTAGGGTTTAGGGTTTAGGGTTTAGGGTTTAGGGTTTAGGGTTTAGGGTTTAGGGTTTAGGGTTTAGGGTTTAGGGTTTAGTTTAGGGTTTAGGGTTTAGGGTTTAGGGTTTAGGGTTTAGGGTTTAGGGTTTAGGGTTTAGGGTTTAGGGTTTAGGGTTTAGGGTTTAGGGTTTAGGGTTTAGGGTTTAGGGTTTAGGGTTTAGGGTTTAGGGTTAGGTTTAGGGTTTAGGGTTTAGGGTTTAGGGTTTAGGGTTTAGGGTTTAGGGTTTAGGGTTTAGGGTTTAGGGTTTAGGGTTTAGGGTTTAGGGTCCTCAACCCTAAACCCTAAACCTTAGGGTCTTGGGCACAGGGATGTAAGGGCCGAATGTAAGGGGCCAGAGGGTGTCGACTCTCTGAGCTGGGCCCTAAAACCCTAAACCCTAGCCCTAAACCCTAGCCCTAAACCCAAGCCCTAAACCCTAGCCCTAAACCCTAGCCCTAAACCCTACTTGAAGGTTCATGGTACTTACTAACCAATTATAACTGGGCTTCAAACCCTACTTATAATTGGGATAACCCCTATAAGGCCCTTAACCCTAAGCCCTAAGCCCGAAGCCCTAACCCGAGCTTGGCTTTAGGTCGGGTGAGCAGGTGCGCGCGGCCGACAGAAAGCCTGAAACCCTAAAATCCACTGATTGGTGGGTTGAAGCAAGTCAAACACTGCGTAACTTCATGTTGCACGATCCCTACCTTTATACTTGTTATTCATTTTCTTCTTGAAACTATGATTTTACATTTCTCGTTTATTTTCCATGTTTAACTTGGTGTTTATTCCTGTATATGAACTACGTATAGATATACATGTATATACATATACACAGACATACATATATATATATATATGTATGTATATACATACATATGTACGGATAGCATATGTACACTTGTAACCAAGTGAAACTTGAAACATGCTTCCGAAAAAAAACATGTGGCAAAGCAGGAAAACCCGATCAGCGAGACGGCAACCTCGGGCACGCTTTGGCCAACATTCCCTAACCCCTAAGCCCAAAAAAACAAACATAAACCCTAACCGTAAAACCATAAATCCGAAACCCTAAATGTAAGGGTTTATGGGATAATTTCTAAGAGATATGGGATTCCTAGGTATACTTGGGCTCAGGGTCGCAGCACTTAGGGTGTTTGGCCTGCGGCGGGCGATCAGCATCACGAGCAGAGAAGTTGGCGAGGTCTTTCTTACTCTTGACCTGGGAAAAAAGCGAGTCTAGGGTTTAGGGTTTAGGGTTTAGGGGTTGGGGTTTCGGGTTATTTAGGGATTAGGGTTTAGGGTTGATCCAAGACGGAGCACCAAGACACTGTGCCGCTGCGGATTTAATGGTCTTGGACAATGTGCCTGCCGCATTTCTTTGCCTATCCCAGCCCCAGCAGTCATGGAATCGGAACTCTCAGATCCCCCTTCCAGCCCCCCTAAACAAGCCTCAAGATCTTAATCTTCACACCTACAGCTACGACACCGGCCCTGCGCGCGAAAGGCTCGAAACCCCCCATTCACCCCTGAACTTGGAGCTAGCTGGGCTCCGAACCCAAACCCTGAACCCTGCCAGAAACCTCCCACCTACCTTGTATTGTTCCCTGAACACACCTGCTACTAAGCGCCATGATACCTATGAATAGGGTAGTTGGGGGGGTGGATTAGGGTAGTTGGGGGGGTGGTTTCTACCTATGCCCCCACCCTCAACCCCAAACCTGGCCGCCGCCCTCCCCGCGCCCCCCCTCCCCCTCCCCCCAAAGCCGCAAACCCCTCCCTACACCCTAAACCCTGAACCCTAAGATAACCCCTAAACCCCAAACAAAGTGAGCCCCAGCTCCCTGAGCCGAGGGTCTTCAGGCTTGTAGGGCGTCTCCATCGTGAGCGCTTCGAAGCTCTGCCAGTCAAAGCCCTGCGGGTTTAGGGTTTAGGGGTTTAGGGGTTTAGGGGTTTAGGGGTTTAGGGTTTAGGGTTTTAGGGTTTAGGCATTTAGGCGTTTAGGGGTGTAGGGGTTTAGGCTTCTAGGGATTAGGGCCAAGGATGCTCCTACGGTGGAGACTCCCCCCAACAACCAAAAAAACATTCTTGCTCACGGACAATATACGGATGATTATCTTCTCTTGTTTTTTGCGGGAAGGGGGGGGGGTTCTCAAGCAAAACACTATTGGACCCTGAGAATCTTACCCGCGTATGTTTAGGCTTTAAGGTCATCCTAAGAGAATAAGGGAGGGTTTGGGGTTTAGGGTTTCGGTTCAGTGCTTAGGGTTACTACCCGTTTTGTCTTCTTCTATCCGAACACCCCACAAGAAGACCAAGGGTACTACTGGGCTTGACAGAAAGGAAGAGCAAGGCATAAAAGGTCTTAGGGTTTAGGGGGTGGCTGAAACCGAGCCAGCCTCTCGGTTTAGGGTTTAGGGTTTAGGGTTTAGGGTTTAGGGTTTAGGGTTTAGGGCTAAGGGTCGCAAGCGAGCCAGCCTCGTACCACATGTGCTTCTTGATGTTGGCGATCCCCCCACTCCTTTCGGAGAACGGGGCGATCAATCGACCGCCCTCCCCTCCCAAGCCCTCCAAACCCAAAAGAGCCCAGACATCCTTTCAACCCTGAAAGGGTTTAGGGTTTAGGGTTTAGGGTTTAGGGTTTAGGGTTTAGGGTTTAGGGTTTAGGGTTTAGGGTTTAGGGTTTAGCGTTGAGGCTTTAGAGTTTTAGAGTTTTAGGGTTTTAGGGTTTAGGGTGTAAAACTGCAAATCCTAAACCCCAAACCCTAAACCCCAAACCCTGTGAACCTTGAACGCCTGAGCTTAGGGGGCTGTGGCTTCATCTTTTGATGGGCTGATGGGTTTCCACTCCGTGAACGTCAGGGTTTTAGGTTTCGGTTTTACAGGAAACTCCAGAAAGTTGGAACATGGCTTAAGGATGATTGGAGCGCTGGGATTCCCTTTAGTATCCTTTTGGGGTATGGGGACAAGGATGCTCCAACTTTGTGGAGTTTAGTGGAGGGTTTCAGGGTTTAGGTTTGCTTGCAGAGTGTCATGTCAAGTTTTCTTCTCCGGCTGTTGGTTTGCTGTTGCGTGCGTTAGGAGGCATGGGGTTTAATCTCCTTGGGGAGGGGGGGTTCAAGGTCTAGCGACTTCTGCGTGCGGGAGGGTCTCGTTTCCTAGCCATTCCTAACCCACATCCCACGAACAGAACTGCTCGCCCCCCTTAACCCTAAACCCTAAACCCTAAACCCTAAATCCTAAACCCTAAACCCTAAACCCTAAACCCTAAACCCTAAACTCTGAACCCTAAAGCCTAAACACGGGCACTCAGGCACCCCAACTTCACCTCTGACAGCCCAAGGAAGCCTTAATCCCTCCCCAACGAGGATACTCAGTGGGTTTAGGGTTTAGGGTTTAGGGTTTAGGGTTTAGGGTTTAGGGTTTAGGGTTTAGGGTTTAGGGTTAACCCAGGATTAAAAAGGGTACCCTTTTTTGCTTAAAGGGGTTTACAAGGGAACCTAACCCCCCAAAAAAAGGGAATAAGGGCACTACTGGGCATCATACCCAAACAGTCCGCGCTGGACGCTTCTACAGAGGCCGAACGAACCCAAACAGCCCAATACTGGGGTAGGTTTAAGGTTTAGGGTTTAGGGTTTGGGGTTTAGGGTTTAGGGTTTAGGGTTGGGGGGGGGGGGGGGGGGGGGGGCGGGAAAGAATCAGTTGTCCATGGCTTTTCGAGGGTTATAAACGGATTTAAAAAAACTTAAGCCTTACCCAAAGAGCCAGCCCTACCCAAAGAGCCTAATACTGTGGTAGGTGGGCCTATAAAAAATGAAGTCTTTCTGGCTGTATATTCTATAGGGATTATAAGGGTAGTAGAAATAGAAATAAGAATTATGTTCAAACCTACACCCCCCAAAGTGCCAGCCCTACCCAAAGAGCCCAATACTGGGGTAGGTTTCCGGGGCTGATCTCTTTTAATGGCTATACAAGGGTTCTATAGGGATTATACAAGGGTAGCACAAATGAGAATTATGTTCAAACCTACCCCTTAATCCCTCTTAATTAAGGAATATACCGATATATATATATATGTATATCTATCTATCTATATATGTATATATATATATATATGTATGGGGATCCTTCATGTGATTTAAGGGATACTCCTTAAGTAATAAGGGGCATTGGGCCCGTTGGGTACAGTACTTTCTCAACCCCGGAAGGAAGCCCCCCAGAGAACCCTTGATAAACTCTCTAAGATTCGACATAACATAAGCAACCCTAAGCCCGAAGCCCTAAGCCCTAATTAAATCCTAAACCCTAAATTGATAAACTCTTTAAGATTCGACATGACATTGTAATCAACCCCAAACCGTAAACCCCTAAAGCCCTAAACCCTAAGCCCCAAACCTGAACTGAAGATGCTGCCAACATCAGGGTCTACCTTCCAAAACCCTTTGCACCCCTTTTGGGACTGAGGGAGTTCGTAAGCATTTATGAAGGCTTATGAAGTAGGACGCCCCCTACTAGTTGCTTAAGAACCACCCCCCCCCCCCCCCCCCCCCCCCCGAAGATAAGGATTCTTCCTTAGAAGCGCAATCTAGGCATTATTGTCTTGTGTTTTTTGGGGGGTTCTGATGCAAATAATGGCAACTTGGGTCTCTTTCAGGGTAGCCGCTACTAAATTTTGCGATCAGCCCCTACCCAGATACAGGCCTCATTGGCAGCCTCTCAACTGGATCTTTCTGGCAGAGGTTCTTAATCAAGTCTTCACAGCGACCTTTCCGGAAGGACGGCATCAATCAGGGTGTAGGGTTTGGGTTCAGCAAGAAGACGAAGCGTCTACACTCGAAAGCCTTGAACCACAAGGCAAGAGCGCCTACTAAACCCCAAACCCTACACCCTGAACCCTGAACCCTAAACCCTAAACCCTAGACCAAAGCCAGCAAACAAGGCCGCTGAAAGGGGGGTGGGTTTTAGGGCTTGGGGCTCCGGGCCACGGGCTCGGCACTTGATTCACCTCTTGTCTATGGCCCCTTTATTAATGTGGGTTCCTTGTTGTTTAACGCTCACAGGCCTACTATTTGCTTAAGCAGCTCCCCAAGAAGCGAACGATAATCATCCCTACATTGCCCGGATAAGGAAGCAGATGATTTGTTGGGCGGTTCTTTAGCAATTAGTGATAATTAGTGGGGTATACAATCCCCGTACTTCGGGTCCCTATAAACAAGGGCAAGGGACCGTACAAAGGACCCGTGGATCCAACCTTAGATATGGGCTTGGGGTTGAGAGTTGAGGGTAGCAAGGCCAGGGCTTGCCTGAAGGCTCTAGTGCAGTTCCCTTTCTGCATTCGTTATATGGGGAATTCGCAGAGACTGCCCCAAAAAAAGGTGTAACGTAGGAGCCTGAATAATCATAATAGGCTTTTGGGGGGCAATTATCGTATAACTATAAAGGGACCATGAGGGAATATCGTTTGTACCCCCCCCCCCCCCCCCCTCAAGAGCCAAACAAAAAGACAGCCGTAAATAGAAAGCTCAGACCCTCAGCCCTAAGCCCTGAGCCCTAAACCTTAAGCCCTAAACCCTAAACCCTAAACCCTAACAGCCTCGGCACCGCGGCGGGAAGCCGACCTGGCGGCTCAGGATTTGAAGCAGGGTCCCACCTTTGGAGTAGACCCTGGAAAAAAAGTATATACTTTTTAGGTATAAGTAACTCTAATGGGAACCAAGAACCATAAAAAGTATTAAAGTATAGGGGTATACATTTCTTGTACTTGGGAAGGACACTGAAGGACGAGAGGAGCCCTAAAGCGCTTTTGGTTTCCCTGAAGCGCCGGCACTTCTGGAAATTAAAGTTGGGCCACGCCTACTTCTGTTGTGGAAAATGAACAGGAGTAGGCATGGTGGTGACAGGTTCCAGTATGGATCCTCGTCAGGATTGCCGGCATCACTTCAGGGCAATTCCCGGCAGGCTGCTAAGCACCAGCAGCTACAGCCTGAGTCTGAGATAATTGATGTCCTTTGGGGTGGCATCCATCCGACAGCGGGTCGTGGCGAGAAAAATACTGGACTAACTCTTCGGCGGCCGGTCTCTGTTCAGGCTCTACCGCAGTACAACCCATGAATATCTGCCGAACAACTTCGGGAACTGTCTCATCAAGTTGCAACCTCTTGCCAGAAGCGATGAAGATGATGATCTGCGTCGCTACCATTTCCGCAAAGGGCAGTCGTCCAAGCAGGACTTGATAAAGTAGTATGCCCAGAGCGTAGATGTCCGCCTTCTTTGTCAACCTCTTGTGTTCCAGCCGAAGCAGCTCAGGCGGCATATGTGAGACCGTGCCAAGTTGAGAGGTTAGCAGCGTGGAGACACCTTCCTCCAGGACTCTTGCAAGCCCAAAGTCACAAACCTTGCATACAAAGTCCAGCTCCAGTGGGCCTGTGCTGTCTCTCGACTTGAGCAGCACGTTGTTGGATGTGAGATCTCCATGGATAATGTCCTTGGAGTGCAGGTATTGACAACCCGTGCTGATCTCGCACAGGATATTCTTCGCCTGCCTCAGGCCCAACCCAGAAGTGCGCGGGACATCGCAGTAGCCATTGAGCGTCCCGCGGTCGCACCACTCCTGGACGATCCAGATCTCCTTCCTTGTGCTCTTGCCAGGCAGCTCACTCTCGCAGTCGCGCATGAAGAAATCGAAGGCCTGGACGAGGTTCGGATGCACCATGCTCATGCACAGCTTGGCCTCCTTGACAGGGTCGATTCTCTTCAGCTGCTCCCCTTCCCACGCCATGATCTTCACGGCAGCTGCCTGGCTCTTGTAGTTGGCGGAATAGACCTGGCCAAAGGATCCTTTCCCGATGCAATCCAACAGCTTCAGCCCTTCAACGAAGTTCGCGCGAGGGCCACCAAAGACTTCACTCCGCGATGACGACGAACTGGCGAACTTCGATCCCGGGAGTGTCCTGAAGGAAGCCGAGCTTGGAAGCTCCTGTTCCGACATGGTCACGATGGACGATATTAAGGAAAGTTTCTGTCGCAGGAAAGCGATACTCCGGTGGCCAGAGTACAAGATCCCGCTAACGAGGACAATCACGACAGTGATTGTGGCAGCAGCCCAGACCCGGTCGGCCTCAACACCCATCACTGACGACTCTCGCCGCATCAGGTAGCACACCCAGGATCCAGTAAATGTGAACAGCAAGTGCAGGTGCACAAGGCTTTCCACAAGCACCATGCCTCCGAACATCATGAAGGCGTGTTCGCATAGCATCAAGATGCACCACTCGCCGAAGCCCAAGCACCAATGAGCAGACACGAGCCAGGAAGACAACGAGTTGATCACCAGACCAATCCGGAGGATGCAGCGGCTCAGTTCACACTTCTGCAGCAGGAAGCCCGCCAGGTTGCAAGTAAAATAGCCCACGCACGTCGCTCTGAAGGCGAAGGTCACGGAGGCTGCGTTCGAACAGGGGTACCCCAGAATGCAGCACGAGGACGAGGCAAATAAGCCCAGGTACATAACCATCTTTTGCGACGGATCATGTTTGGTCTCTGGCCTCATGGCGCTGTGCCACGAGATTAAAATGGGTGAGAAACCCTTGCCCTTTTGCGAATTATTGAGAATCTCAATTAAAATTGCCTGTATTTCCCAAAACCTAACCACTGTATTCAAACATCCAAGAACTCCAAGCATAGGCAACCCCCATCCTAAACTAAGACCTGAATCCTGACCTTTACAAGCTCACCATAGCCAAACAAACAACAATGCTTGAGCCGGATGAGTTTGTGAAGTCCTACAGTCCCAAAAGCTATAGGACCCCAGCCGCCCTAAGACCCTAAACCCTAAACCCTAAACCCTAAACCCTAAACCCTAAGACCCTGGGGTTGAGCGACTTTGCGACTTAGGCTCCAGGGCTCTATAGAGGCGCTATGGGCTTCAGGGTATTGAGATCAGCAGTTCCATCAGGGTCCTCTAGCCATGGTGCTTTGCACTGGGAGAGTGATAGGCTCAAGGTCGATTGGGCTTGGTCTTGGGGTTTAGGGTTTAGGGTTTAGGGTTTAGGGTTGAGGGTTTAGGGTTTAGGGTTTAGGGATTAGGGTTTAGGGTTTAGGGATTAGGGATTTAGGGTTTAGGGATTTAGGGTTTAGGGTCTAAACCCCATATACCGCTTCAGGTTTGGGGTCAGGGCTTAGCGAGACCACGAAGACGCTTGTGCGCCGGGGATGAAGCACGTTCCGGTTGAGAGATGTCGAGCCCTCTAGTTAGGACTCGACAACGCGTACGCAGTTCTCGAAGTCTAGTCGATGATGAAATGGGGCGTAGGGTTTAGGGTTTAGAACGAACAACCCCCTACTAATTACTTAAGAATCCTCCCCAAGAGAAGATAGTGATCCCTATATTATATTGCCCTTATTCAATTTTTTGGGCGGGTTCTCAAGCGATTCGTAGCGGCCCAAAACCCTAAACCCTAAACCCCAAACCCCAAACCCTAAACCCTAAACCCTAAACCTTAAACCCTTGAGGCGTGTGTAGAGCCCTCCGATTCCCCAAAAGCAGGATTGCTGCCCTGGCTGCGCCTGAGCGATTCCCTTCTTGATCTGCAGACAAGACGCGCTGAGTTTTTTACAAAGTAGAGGGGTCAGGGTGCGGATTTCGCCCTTTCGGGTTTACGGTTTTAGGGTTTTTAGGGGTTTCCGGGCTTTAGGGTTTTGGGGTTTTTGGGTTTTAGGGCTTTAGGAAGTTTTAGGGAGTTTTAGGGAGTTTTGTTGAGTTTAGGGTTCCAGGGTTTATGGCTTGGGGTTCATGACCTTCTGACCTGTCGTTGCTGAAAAGTTGCCACTCGCTACAGGCTACTCTCTGGCTATTTTGAAGGTCCCGCCTTTCCATACCCTAAACCCTAGACTCCCTAAATCCTGGGGACTAGGACCGACTAGGAACCTGACGGACGCACGGGTGATTAGGGCAATGAAGGCACGATTTGAATTTGAGGTTGAGGGCTGGGGTGAAAAAATGGGACGTTCCCGCTTATACCAACAGTCCTTAATCGGGATTATGCCCAGAGAGCCCCATACTCCTCAACTCAGGAACAGATCCTTAATATGATTTAAGAAATATTCTTAATCAAGAGGTATTGGGCTCTTTGGGTGCGCTTTTCAACAGCAAACCTCAGACCTCCCAAAGCCCGCCCACTACACCCTCAACCCTGAACCGTAAAACCCTATATAAACCCTAAACCCCATAGAGCTGCCAGTCCTACGTTAAAATGAATCGCGGGCCTATCAACTGGAGGGCTTCAGCTTAAAACGCGAACTGGGTGCAGGACATCGGCTTGTATAGGGGCACCGAACTGCTTCATTCTCTGTGAAAAGCCAGTACCTGAACCTCATTCCCTAGTTACCGTGTGAGGAACTAGATTGGTTTGAAAAGGGCTTATACGGCCCTTAAAACAAAATTGCGCCTGTTCTGGGTCCTCGTAGCCTAGACCCTAAGCCGTACACTCTGAACCCAAATAAGGGAAAGAAGGGCCTACTCTGGGCCCTAGCCCTAAACCCTAAACCCTAAACCCTAAACCCTAGACCCCAAAAAGGGGAAGAAGGTCCTAGCGAAGCCAGCAAGTCGAAGGCTGCCTTCTGATACGTCTGCATCACCTGCTCGGCCTCGAATGGAGGACTCCTGACAGGCGATTCAGGGTTTAGGGGTTTTGGAGTGTAGGCTGCCCAGTAACCTAGGCTTAAAAAGGGTGGCCTTTTTGTTTGAAGGGGTTTAGAAGGGAACCTAAACCCCCCCCCCCAAAAAGGGAATAAGGGCACTACTGGGCATCCTACAAGTTTAGGGTTGAGGGTTTGGGGTTTAGGGCGTTGAGGTCTAGGGCTTGGGGTTTACAGTTTAGGGGTTTAGGGGTCTAGGGCTTTGGGGTTTAGGCTTTAGGCTTTAGGGTTCTGGGGTTTGCAGGTGAGGTTTTAGGGTCACAGCTGTCGCTAGGTGGCCCCGCCCCAGGAGAGAGCACGTTGAGGCAGGCCGGGTTTAGGGTTTAGGGTTTAGGGTCTAGGGTCTAGGGTCTAGGGTTTAGGGTTTAGTGTTTTCGCAAAAGTAAATGTGCCAAAGAACAGCCGGAGTTCCTCACAGACCCAATAACCACCATCTCGACAGCCTGTGTACAATCTTGGTCCTCTGTTGTACTTTTGTACTCTTGTTTGTTTAAGTTTTCATGTGCAAAAACTTGGCCCATGAGTGATGTGAACCCTAGACCCTAAACCCTAAACCCTAAACCCTAAACCCTAAACCCTGAACTGCTCCCGCACATGAGCTCGTAGGTGAGGATGCCCAAGGTCCACCAGTCCACCGCCAAGGTATGCCCCTTGGATGCCTCGGACTTCGCTCCCTGAACCCTAAACCCCTGAACCTCGGGGGATTTACGGGTTTAGGGTTTAGGGTTAGGGGGTTAGGGGGTTAGGGGGTTAGGGGGTTAGGGGGTTAGGGGGTTAGGGGGTTAGGGGGTTAGGGGGTTAGGGGGTTAGGGGGTTAGGGGGTTAGGGTTTAGGGTTTAGGGTTTAGAGTTTCGGATCTCTACAAGGTTGCACCCTTAGGAGGTGTCCCCTAAGATGCACCCACTATGACCCTCATGAGGCCTTAGGAATCTTCAACAAGGGTCCCCAAACCCAAAGGCTACACAACCTTGGGGTCCAAGGTAGAATACCATGAGAATTCCCCAGACCTGAAACTCTCAACCCTCAAAGCCCCAAACCCTAACTCCATGTAAGGCAAGGTAGACAGGGAAGGGGGGGGGGGGGGGGGTTAGGGTTTAGGGTTTAGGGTTTAGGGTTTAGGGTTTAGGGTTTAGGGTTTAGGGTTTAGGGTTTAGGGTTTAGGGTTTAGGGTTTAGGGTTTAGGGTTTAGGGTTTAGGGTTTAGGGTTTAGGGTTTAGGGTTTAGGGTTTAGGAGCCATGTCTCTCTTCTTGGCGCCTGCAGCTGCTTCTGCCCGGGCGTTGGGTTTCTGGTCTGGTGTCTAGGTTCTTGGGGTTTGGGTTTGGGCTTTGGGGTTCAGCTTGCTTTTATTTGGGCTTCGGGTTTAGGGATAAGGGCCGGGGGGTTTAGGGGTTTAGGGGGTGCAGGGATTTGGGGTGGCTTTCTTTGTGGTTCCGGGAATGGCGGGCGTTCGCAGCGGCAAGCTCCATAGGAGGTAGTAGGCTAGGCAATGCTGCGCTGGTAGGGACGACAGCTCGGTTGGCCTTCCGAACCCTGAACCCTAGACCCGAAACCCTAAACCCGAAATCGGATCAATCCTCTTGAGCCCAATACGGAGCATGAACCCAAACCTTCTGAAGCTTCTGCTGCTTCTGAGGCTTGCCTTAGGGCTTAGGGTTTGTGGGGCTTAGGGCTTAAGGAGGCCCTAAACCCTAAACCCTAAACCCTAAACCCTAAACGCCCTCATCCCAAACCTTGGAGATCAGGTGCAATCATCTCAGGCGCGAAGTAGTCGGGCGTTCCGCCTTTGGATTCGAAGGCGAAGTTCACAACTGTAACTGGGGCTTGCACATCAGGTTCCAGGATTTAGGGTTTAGCTTGGCTGCACTTAGGAGGGTAGCTATAAATTATATTTTTGGCTACCTTGCAAGGAAACCCAATAAACCCAAAAAGGCTAAGGATCTAAAGTTACAGTAAAGCCCCACAAAGTTCGGGTTTAGGCTTAAGGATTTTGGGTATACAGCAGCTCATGACTTCCAGGCTATCATTGGAAGGTCCGCTGCAGACGCCCGGGACTGCGCCCTAAACTCTCTCGTCAAAAGCCACTGCCCCTGAATAGTCCCGTGTACTACTATTGGGTTATTCTTAGGAAGCCTATCGCGATCCACTTTTGGGGTCCTCCCAGGGTCTGGAGAATCTCACATTTTGCCTCCCAGCCAGGGCGAGAAAGGGGTTGAGGGCTTTTTCTTGGGGGTTCGGGGCTTAAGGGGGAATGTTAGGATTCGTTGAATGGCCCAAGAAACATACCAAAACAAGCTGTGCCAAATAATTGGAGACTTGTTGGCTCCTGGCCTTTGGAGGTTTCGGGGTAGGGTTTAGGATTAAGATTGCGGAAGCCTTATATGAGGTTCCCAACAAGAATTGAGAATTTAGAAAATCCACAATACGCAGTCCGATCCCTAAAAGAGTTTTCATATTACAATAGCATGGGTTTCCCTACCCTAGTCTTAATTAGCTCTAATTAGCCTTAATTGTGGCGGGAACCTTGAGGGGGGTAGAGGCGCACTTGGGCACTGCGCAGGCCTGTGAGGGCCAGGGCGTGGTGTTTGTGCCGATGGTGGTGGAATCCACAGGCACATGGGACAAAGGTGCAGGCATCGTCCTCCAGCACATTGCGCGGGCTGTGGCTGCGCGGACTGGCGAGGAGCCCCAGCGTGCACATTGCGCCCTCATGCAGGAGCTGTGCGTTCTGATCCGTGCCCATCGGGCGCGGGCGGCCCTGCGCCGCCGCGCTGAAGCTGCGGAGACATGATGCTTGGAAGCAGCAAGGAGCTGCGCTGGGGGAGACCCGGTGTACTGGGGGTGTTCTGGGTAGCTGTGGACGCCCGCTCGTACAGTACGACACAGGGGGGGGGGCCCACGACCCTGCGTAACTGTCTGTCTATGACTGTGCACTTCGGAAGTGGCGATGCTGGAGGCAAAGGACTTCTGCACCTTCCTGGAAGCACGGAGCTGCGCTCGGGAGGACCCGGCGTAGTAGGGGGGGCGGTTGACGGGCCCTGCTGCGTCTTCCGTCCGCGACCCTGAGTGTCGGTTTTGCTCGGTGGAGCGCTACTTGCTAGAATCGTGTTGATGCTTGGAGTTCCGGCATGGATTTGGTTGCTCAGCTGTTGCCACAAGCAGCTGCGAAGGCCCAAGCCTCGAGGTTCCTAAGCCATCTCGGTGCCATTCGTACCTGTTTCGCGCCTCAATCAACGCATCGAGTCGCGCTGATTATTGTTGTATCACCTCCCGAGTCGGAGTCGTCAAGGCTGGAGCTGGAGGGCAACGCCAGGCCCTAAACCCAAAACCCTAAACCTAAACCCGGGTGCGGGGGGGAGGGGGGTCGTAGGGAAACCCATGATAATCGGGATAATCCAATTTTATTGGGTATATGAGGGTTTAGGGTTTAAGGTTTAGGGTTTAGGGGCCCCCAATGTTACGGAACATGAGTGGCCTCTAACGTGACTCTAACGGTTGAAGGCTTTTTTAAGGTTTAGGGTTTAGGGTTTAGGGTTTAGGGTTTAGAGTTTAGGGTTTAGGGTTTAGGGTTTAGGGTTTAGGGTGCAGCTGGCAGACACGTGGTGAAGGTCTTGCCGATAACCACCTCGCTGAGAGGCAAAGGACTGCGGGCATGGCTGAGTCCACAGCAGTATCGGGTTAAGGGCTTAGGGTTAGGGGTAAGGGTTTAGGGTTTAGGGTTTAGGGTTCAGGGTTCAGGGTTTAGGGCAGTATACATGTCGAGCAGGTGGCCTTCTTGCAGGCAACCGTGCGCTTTCAGGGGGCTCGGAACGGTTTCGGCACCAAGGCCCGAAAGACTGAACTGACATCAGGGCTTCGACTGTGGAAACGAGGATCCCACACTTGGGAATTGAAGCCTCTAAGGGCAGTTCGGTCTCTGAAGTATGGACCCTTGGGTTAATAGAGGGTATTTAGGAGGTATATAAAGGGTCCCCATACTCAGGGACCAAGAGACTACAACAACAAGGGTTGGCTTAGGGTTTAGGGTTTAGGGTCCCCATACTCAGGGGCTGACGTCCTGGAGCCCCACAGCCCTTATAATCCATAGTCCTGAACCCAAAAGCGCGTAAGGGGTTTCAGGGTTTAGGGTTTAGGGTTTGGGGTTTGGGGTTTAGGGAATGGGGTTTAGGGTTTTCTAGGGTTTACATGCAGGCTCCAGTGTAGCGCCTTTTCGGGTTAGGTCTAGGGGGTTCTAGCTTACGAAGCCCAAAAAGGTGCGACACAGGAGCCTTTAGGTGGGGGGTTCGGGCTCGTGCATCAACCCTCACGGGCGAAGCGCTCGGCATCAGGATCTACTGGGTTCTACCTTGGACCCTTAAGGTTGTACCCTTGGGTTTTGAGGTCCCGTTTAAGGATCCCTAAAGGACTATAAGGGCCACATTCGGAGTATATCAAGGGGAACCTTTAGGGGTAGAACCTTATGGGTGCGAGCCTTCATCCCTTGAACTCTGGCACTTGAAAGAACCTCAAAGCCTAAACTCTCAAAGTCCTAGACCCTAAGCCCTCAAGCCTAAAACCCCAAACCCCTAAACCTTAAGTATAGCTGAGTCTTAGACCCTAAGACCTCAAGCCTAAAACCCCAAACCCCTAAACCTCAAGTAAAGCGCTGAAGCCTAAACTCTCAAAGTCTTCGACCCTAAGCCCTCAAGCCTAAATCCCAAACCCCTGAACCTTAACTTGGCTGCACTTAGGAAGGTAGCTGTAAATCAAATTTTTAGCTACCTTACAAGGAAACCCCAATAAACCCCAAAAAGGCTAAGGATCCAAAGTTCCAGTAAGGCCCCACAAAGTGAAGCAAACCTGAGGCCCGGAGCTTCTACCCAGGAGCCCTGGCCTTTGCCAAACCCATGTCCGTCAGCTTTATGTGGCCGTGCTCGTTGAGGAGCAAGTTTCTGAAGGTCAGGTTAGGGTTCAGGGTTTAGGGTTTAGGGTTTAGGGTCTAGGGTCTAGGGTCTAGGGTCTAGGGTTTAGGGTTTAGGGTTCAGGGTCTAGGGTCTAGGGGGTTTAGGGTTCAAGGCCGATAAGCTTGGCAGCCCAGCAACCCTTCTTGGGTTGGTTACTCTATAAGGGAACCTTGAACCCAAAAGGAAATGGGAACAAGGGTACCACTGGGCTAGCAAGTAAGCGTCGTCAGATTTTCAGGCTCACAGGTCCCAGATCTTTAGTTGGCTGCACTTAGGAGGGTAGCTATAAATTAAATGTTTAGCTGCCTTACTAGGAAACCCAATAAATCCCAAAAAGGCTAAGGATCTAAAGTTACAGTACAGCACCACAATGTTTAGTCCTTGAGGCTCCACGTGTTTGAGCCTTTTAACCCCAAACCGGTACAGTAGGGAACTGGGCGGTAGCTTGACATGCAAGGGCACCAAGTTACCCAGATATTATTGAAGTCTAGACAGCACCACCTGGGTTGAGGGCTTAGGGTTTATAGGAACCCTAACCCAGGAGAATGTTGCACTGACATGGTGTCACAATTCAATCAAGTGTCTTCACGGCTTGTGAAGACCCCCCCCCCCGCCCTGTGCTGGCGATGTCCAAAAAAAAGTCTATAATTCCCACCGCACCTCACCCCCCCCCCCCCCCCCCCCCCCCCCCTCGTTGAACTGGGGTGTCTTGGGTTCTCTGGCGAAATGAGCTTGGGAAATGGATGCCCTGAGTCCCTTGGAGGAGACGTGAAGTACCAAATCTCTCCCTCTATCAGGAAGCTCTTGAAATACTTCACGGAGCCAAGGGCCGCTAGACCCTATGTCCATCAACCCTAAAACCTAAATCCTAAATCTTGAGCCCTAAACCCTACAGGGCTTCTAGGCTGGTCACCTTGCTCGCAACGCACAACCCTAAACCCTAAACCCTAAACCCTAAACCCTAAACCCTAAACCCTAAACCCTAAACCCTAAACCCTAAACCTCCTCGGTATCAGCAAAGCATCTCCGGCTTGAGATCTCGGAAGACAATCTTCTTGCCTCGATTGAAATACTTACTTAGGGTTACACCCTAAACCCTAAACCCTAAACCCTAAACCCTAAACCCTAAACCCTAAACCCTAAACCCTAAACCCTAAACCCTAAACCCTAAACCCTAAACCCTAAACCTGCCCTAAGCCTGAGCCCAATTTTAAGTTTAGAGGCTGGGGGTTGGGGTCTGGGAAGTTCTTTTCGAGGTTGAGGGGCTTCTTTGGAAGTCTTGCTGGTCCAGTTTCCGCTGGGAACGCTAGGTCAACCTTTGGGATTATGTTAGGGGATTACCCACCCGCCCACAAAGGCCCGAGGTCAGTTACGTACTCGACTTCGAAGTGCTTGTACCTCAAAGACTCTTCTAGGAACCGCTGAAGTTGATGTGGGGTCTCCTAAGGGCCGAACATCCGAACACGAACCTAGGATTCAGACTCCAAGGAGCTGTAGGGTTTAGGGTTTAGGGTTTAGGGTTTAGGGTCTAGGGTTTAGGGCTTAGGTCTAGGGTTTAGGGTTTAGGGTTTAGGGTTTAGGGTTTGGGGTTTAGGGTTTAGGGTTTAGGGTTTAGGGTTTAGGGTTTAGGGTTTAGGGTTTAGGGTTTAGGGTTTAGGAGCTGCACTCCCCAAAGGCGCAATGCCACCGCAATGGAGTGTAGTTTTGAGACGCCGAGCAACTGTGCAGGTGGTCGAAGGCTGCGACCTTGGCAAAGGAAGCACGACTCTGACCCAACCTACATCTACAAGTCCAACTCCTACACCCAAAACCCTCAACCTGACACTCAGAAATGCTGCGCCCCACACCCTAAACCCTAAACCCTAAACCGTGAAGCCTGAACCCTAAACCCTAAACCCTGAACCTGCGGGGTCAGGACGAGGGAGCAGCCTTGGAGGCATGAGAGGCTGTTAGCCAGGGCAGGTTGGAGGTCTTTCTGGGGGTTTAGGGTTTAGGGTTTCGGGTTTAGGGTTTCGGGTTTAAGGTACCTCAAGATCTCAGAGCTTCCTTGTCCTGTGCCCCCTCCCGATATGAGTGTACACTGTGGCTGTAGTCGGGCATTAGATAACCCTAAACCCTAAACCCTAAACCCTAAACCCTACAGTAAACTGTTCCCCCTTGCACTAAGAGTCTTTAATGGGGATTATAATGGGGGGGGTACTACAATCCTTATTAAGGACACCACAACAAAAAATTGAAGTCGGGTCGAGCTCATGGTTTCGTATAGGACGCCCTGCTTCCTTGGTTCATCAGAACTGTGGAACTCCCATGAGTTAAGTACCCACACAGTACACCTAGTTCCGTAACTCTGGTACAAGTCGACCCCACAGGGATGCTACCCCTTACACCAACAGTCCTTAATCGGGATTGTCGTACCCCATATTATCATCCCTCTTAAGGACTGTGAGTATAAGAAGGGGAATCCCAATCTAAACCCTAAACCCTAAACCCTAAACCCTAAACCGTAAACCCTAAACCCTAAACCCTAAACCCTAAACCCTAAACCCTAAACCCTAAACCCCAAGGCAGCCATGGAGCAACCCCAGCCACGTAGAACTGTGCATGGCCCTCCTTGCCAGTCAGACCTTTCTTGTTGTAGGTGGCCTCTCGCAACTTCTGAAGAAAAGGGTTTAGGGTTTAGGGTTTAGGGTTTAAAGGGTTTAGGGTTTAGGGTTTAGGGTTTAGGGTTTAGGGTTTAGGGTTTAGGGTTTAGGGTTTAGGGTTTAGGGTTTAGGGTTTAGGGTCTAGGGTCTAGGGTCTAGGGTTCAGGGCCTCGAAACTTCTGAGCTTTGGGAAATTCGGAAGGAAGGCATGAAGGCAAAAGTTAGGCTTGGGTCTGGGTCGCAAATTTCTAGACCCAACGCCTGAAGCTAAAGGGTTCTAGGGGATTCAAGCCCAAGGAATCTGAGAAAGACCACAAGTCAGCTTGCTCCAAGGTGCACATGAAGGGAATAAGGGCACGACCCTAAACCCCAAACCCTAAAACCTATCTTAAACCCTAAGCCCTAAGCCCTAAACCCAAAACCCTACTATACACAAACTCGCGGAGGAGTTCTTGGGAGTGCCAAAATGACTCGTGGTTTGGGATTTCTTGACAAGGAAGTCGAGAATAGGTACCCTAGAATATATGGGTACCATAGAATACCCTTGAATTAGGGGAATTGTATGGGGGCCCTAATGCCCCAGTGTCCTGAACCCTGAAACCAAATTCCGGCTTTCACATTTTGCTCCCGGGTCTTCATTCTCCGTTCATCCTTTCGCCTCTTTGCGGCTATCTAGACCAAAGAGCAACCTAGGAATAACAAGGGTGTCCGTTTTGGTTTAAAAAGGGCTTATAAGGGAACCTAAACCATAAAGCAGTTGGAACAAGGGCCTACTCTGGGTCCTTCAGCTATTCCCAAATACCTTTGTAGCAAAGACTTTTGTGCGAAAAAAGGCCCTTCAATAAGAATCCTTGGAGCCTAAGGGTTGGGTTCTGCATGTAGCGCGTGCAAGCAATGGCAGGAGCGCTGCAATGAAGAAGGAAGATGGGACCGCAGCACTGAAACCACAGCATTCGCAAGAACAAGGGCAGCAACCGCAAGCACAAGATCTGCACCTGAAACCCGGCCTGAACCCTAAGCCCCAAGCCCCAAACCCTAAAAGATTGAACCTCTGGCTCCGGTGTTTACCTTGTAGGGAGTCCGAACTTCCGGAACTTAAGTAGGGACTTTCATCGCGCACAGCGGCATAGAGCTCGCCGCCCAACGCACACTCCAAGAGGAAGAACAGGTGATCTGGACCTGAGCATGTGGTCACTTCCTCTAAAGTCTGGTCCCTAAACATTAAACCCTAGACCCTAAACCCTAAATAAAACCTAAACCCTAATGGGCTTATTGTAAGGCGGCCCCTAATTCACATTTAGGGCACCCACAAAAGGGACCATAACTGAGATGTCGCTTTTGGGGAAGTCTTTTTCAGTTTTGGGCTTCCCTGACCCTCGGCCCAATGACCCTAAACCTCCAGGGTTTAGGGTTTAGGGTTACCAAGATGTGCATACCTGACAGCTTACCCCAACCCATGACTTGTAGCCCAAGATGAAAGCTTTTACCCAATCCAAGGACTCTAGCAACACATGAACCTCCGAAGGTAACACTGTCCCACTACTGATACACTTACTGGCCCAAAACCCAAGGAAATAAAGTTGAAACTTTCAGAATGAACTACCTTATATGAAGCCCAAAAGTTTAAAAGTTGGGTTTTGAGCCAGTAAGTACACACCGAACCTAAACCCCAAACTCGAGATCCCCAGCTTCAAGAGAGGCTGGGGCTGTGGCTGTTGAAGGTCTCGTAGACCTTGGTTGCTTTTGAGGTCCACTTGGTATGAAGACCTGCTTTTTTTTAGAGGTGCGGCATTTCTCCCGTGCGAATGCTATTGCTTATAGGTTTCTGATACCCATGTAGAGCGGAGACTTGAGAGCATCCAAGGGACCTTGATGATGAATGGGGACTCGCACGCCAGCTGCACGTCTCTTTCGCCTTTCAGCAAGAGCTTCCAAGCAACTGGCTGCTTGGAAGCCTTACTACAAAGGGTTATGGGGATTATAGACCCAAAGAGCCCAATACCCCTTAATTAAGGAATATTCCCTAAATCATATTCAGGATCCCTTTATCATTCAAGGCATCTTCCTTAATTAAGGAGTATTGGGCACTCTGGGGAAGCTTTTCTAGGGGATACTAAGTAGCCTTACTAAGTCACAAGGGCTTCCAAGTAACAATTGCATCGATGCGGGGCTTTACGGCCCTCAACCACAACTCGGCACCTAAACCCGAAAGCCCGAAATTCCAAGCAATACCAGGAGAGCCCCAAAACCCCTTAACCAAGGAATATCCCTTGAATTATAAAGGGATCCTCATTATGGTTTAAGCAATTGGGGGTATTGGGCTGTCTGGGTATTGTTTGGAGACTCATAAAGGGATCCTTAGCTTTGGAGTAGACCCTGGAAAAAAAGTATATACTTTTTAGGTAATAAGTAGCAATAATAGGAACCCCTAAACCCTAAACCCTAAACCCTAAACCCTAAACCCTAAACCCTAAACCCTAAACCCTAAACCCTAAACTCCCAGGATCCTGATTCCGATTTAAGGAATATTCTTAGTTAAGAGGTCTTTGGGCTCTCTGGGTACCACGCACCCGAACTCCGAAAGCCCCAAGCCCTCACCGTTACGGTTTAGGGTTTAGGGTTTAGGGTTTAGGGTTTAGGGTTTAGGGTTTAGGGTTTAGGGTTTAGGGTTTAGGGTTTAGGGTTTAGGGTTTAGGGTCTAGGGTTTAGGGTTTAGGGTTTAGGGTGATGGCGGATCCCTTCCTCCATACCCTAAACCCTAAACCCTAAACCCTAAACCCTAAACCCTAAACCCTAAACCCTAAACCCTTCAATCCCGGTCGCTCATCACGCTCGTCTGCATGCCCGACTTCACGATGAAGCCCTTGCTCAGAGCCTTCGAAAGTCTTGGTGCTATAACTTTTAATAAGGGTTTAGGGTTTAGGGTTTAGGGTTTAGGGTTTAGGGTTTAGGGTTTAGGGTTTAGGGCTGCAGGTCCTGCTCCCTAAACGCTGCACATCCCCAAAACGCCCTCTTCTTTGCCTCGAAATCGTTTCTCGCCACAATGACATGCAGCGGGGCTTGTGCGTGATAAGATCCAGGTTCCTCAAACCTAAACCCACCATAGACCATCTTCAGCATTCGGGGCCCTTTTAAGCAAATTCGCAACCCTCCAAACAGCTCAAGAAAGCTAAAGCAGTGTGACGTAGCAGTTAAGCCCGTATGCTAATGCTTAAGCTTTTTGCCCTAAACTTCCTGCTCCCTAAACCCTAAACCCCGAACTGTGATGTCTGAGATGAGTTCAGTGCGCAAGGCGGGTCAAAACCTGTAGACACTGCGCGCCTTGCTAACCCCAATATGCATGCGATGGAAGCGGCCCAAGGCCCAAAACCATTCTAATGGAAGAAGGTCCTTAAACCTAAACCCTAAACCCTAAACCCCAAAAGCCCATAAATCCCAACATCATCTATAGACCCAAGAGTATCTAAGAATAACAAGGGGTACCCTCCTTTTTTGTTTAAGGGGGGGCTTATAAGGGAACCTCGACCCTAAAAAAGGGGGAAACGAGGGGCCCACTCCGGGTCCCAGTCATCTTCGCCCCTGCAGGCCTAACCCTAAACCCTAAACCCTAAACCCTAAACCCTAAACCCTAAACCCTAAACCCTAAACTCTAAACCCTAAACCCAGCTCCGTGGGCTTTCGAGGGCTTAAAGGGTTCAGGGCTTAGGGGGCGGGCTTAAGGGCTTCATGAAGAGAGACTCAGAAGGCTTTTGGGATGATAGGGCTTAGAAGGGCTCTAGGGTTTAGGGTTTAGGGTTTAGTCATTGAGGGATTGAGGGATTTAGGGATTAAGGGACCCCCAAGGGTGCAACCTGGAGGGGCCCAAGGTAAGAGCGAAATGAAAGCTGGAGGCGCCTAAAAATGCCGACACTCTCCCGAAGCTTGATTGGTTTAGGGTTTAGGGTTTAGGGTTTAGGGTTCATAGACCCTTGAACACCCCAAAGACCCAAAGCCGTGTCCAGACGAGACCCAAGACAGTGAATCCTAAACCCCTAAACCCACAAACCCTGAACCCACAAACCCTAAACCCTAAACCCTAAACCCTAAACCCTAAACCCTAAACCCTAAACAGAAGCTAGGTCAAACCCCTATCGACCTTCAGGGCATAGGTGTTGCCCGTGGACGTGTGCTCCACGAGCTCCTTGGGGGTTTAGGGTTTAGGGTTTAGGGTTTAGGGTTTAGGGTTTAGGGTTTAGGGTTTAGGGTTTAGGGTTTAGGGTTTAGGGTGGATTCTAGGAAGGTCAGGGGCTTCTTCAGGCTTTCGAGATAGGGTTTGGGCTCAGGGTTTAAAAGGGTTTGGATTTAATTAGGGGCTTGTATGGCTATAGGGGGCTACCAGCACGGAAGGATGTTGTAAAACCATCTGAACAACTTCCGAAAACTTGGATCCTGCTTGGTACAATATGAACTACGCAAGAAGCCCCAGAAACCGCACCAAGTCCCCAAAAGCGCTGCCCGGCACCTGAATATCCTGAACCCTAGAAAGCTGCTCATAAGCCACTAAACCATTAAGCCCTACCCAGAGAGCCCAATACTCCTGACTTAAGGAATGGACCTTAAGCTATCTGAACCCTAAACCCTAGACCCTAAACCCTAGACCCCAAACCCTAAACCCTAGACCCTAAGTCATGTAGGGATCCTTATAAGACTTAAAGAATATCCCTGAAATGACACCCCTGAACCATAAGAACGGACAAGGGGGCCACAGCGCCGAAACCGCCACAGCCCAGCAGACCCAGCACTGTAAGGTCCTCGCAACTGGGCAGAAAAAACCTACGAAGGGCCTTTAAGGTTTAGGGCTTAGGGTTTAGGGTATAGGGTTCAGGGTCTAGGTTGAGGGTTTAGGGTTTAGGGCTCGTGTGGTCTTTTTGGGCCAAACAAATACTACATGACCCTTCGAACCTTAGAGCTTTCGGGCTGGGGTTTCGTGGGTTCTGTTCTGTAGGAATTAGGTCACCAAGTCCCTAGCTATGAGCAGGCTTACAAAAACTTAGGCAGTAAGTCCTCCACAACTACAATTAGTACAGATACGGGCATGGACCCTTCCTGTAGACGCCTAAACCTTAAACCCTAAACCAAGAAAACGGAAAGGACAGAAGGGTGTCAGACCCCAAAACATTCCGGGCTTCTTTGGGTTCTGGAATTGGAGCTTGCAGGGTTTAGGGTTTAGGGTTTAGGGTTAGGGTTTAGGTTTTAGGGTTTAGGGCTAACAGCGCTTAGGGTTTGTGGGCGGGGAGGGGGGCTGAAGGCGGGGGCGGCGGCCGGGGGGGGGGGCGGGGGGGGGTGTGGTGTTAGGATTACATGCTCAATGCCGTTACCCAGCCCTACCTGGAAGCTCTTCTGACTTAGTACTTTGTAGCCCCTAGAAACCCTCAATCCCCATAACCCACCTTTCTAATCCTACTTACTAAGTCAAGAAAGCTTCCAAGTAACACCGAAGCATTGGCCTCCGATCGAGGGTTTAGGAGTTTAGGGTTTAGCTTCTATGGTGGAATTTAACATATGGGGGTTTCCGAAAATAGGGGTACCCTTTTTGGGGGTCCCTCAATCTATTCTATTTGGGGTATAGAAGTGGTACCCCACATATTGGGAAATACCCATATATGTGGCAGGCGACCAGACACAGGTACGACTATGGAAGTATAGATAAAGGCTGCCTGGTCAAAGGGAACAGGACCTTAAGGGCTTTTGATAATGCCTGATTGCTGCTTGAAATCTGGGTTGAGCTCCTGGCCCTTGCGAACAATTTTAAGGATTTGGGCCTGAGTTGAAGTTCTGGGAAGTAGCTACCATGCCTCAAGGGTGCAATGTTTCACACACCACACACACACACAACACCCCAAAGGCCTGAAAAACCCTGATCTGTCAACCTGCCCAACCTTGCGGCTGAGGGAGTACCAGACGCCGAACGTTTTGCATCAGGAACCCGTGTTAATATCTATCAAAACTTCTGCTGCGGAATCTCGGCCGCTTACGCGGTGGCATGGGCGGAGGAGAATTTCCCCGCCTTCCGCTTGATCTTGCCAAAGCGGCTCTTGCGCAGGAGCATGCTGCCAGGTGACTCCTGCATTTAGAGTTTAGGGTTTAGGGTTGAGGGTTTAGGGTTTAGGGTTTGGGGTTTGGAAAGCCTCGAGTCTGGCAGACGAGGGGCTTGCTCAGATCTAGTTGCTTTCTGAGCGGTGCCCGGTAGTTTAGATCCCCCCCCCACCCCTACTCCCCAAAGCCCCGCACAATGCTTTCTCAGTTAGCAATAGGGACGCCCCAAGTGTTATTCCAGAACCGCCGATCCCTCATCCGTTTTCACCCCTAGGGGGGGATATACATTTTCAACATTTCAAAATATTTTTCATCATTTTTGACATCAGCCCCTCGCACATTTTCCATCAAAAAAATTACTAAAATTTACAAAAAATATTATATAAAATTTAAAAATTCAATTTTTCAATCAGTATAATAAATTCAATTTTATTTTTTGTAAATTTTAGGTCACTTTTCAAGCAGTCAAATAATTCAAAAATTCATAAATTTTCAGAAATTTATGATAAAAAAATTCATAAATTTTGAACAAATTTTGGGAAAATTTTATCATAAATTTTCATAAAATTTATTCAAAAGTTTTTGAACAAATTTTATCATAAATTTTATTACAAAAATTTTTGTAATATTTTTTGTGATATTTTTTGTGATATTTTTTTGTGATAATTTTTTGTGATAATTTTACATTTTATTTTGTAAATAGTTTTTGACATTATCGTCTTCAATTCCATTTAGATTAATATTTATTGTTTTCAGATCTTCAAGTTCTTTTAATATTACATTGTTTTTATGTGTTTGTGATTTCTCATGTTGTGATTTTTTGTAATGTTTTACATCATAATTACAAAACGGACAATGATAAATTATTTTCATATATTCTTTTCTATGTGCTTTCACTTTTTCCTTATTATCCTCTTGATATTTTTTATGTCGTTCCTTTTCTTGTTCTTTATGACTGTCTCTATATTGCTTTTGTTTTAACTTACATAAATCTGGGTTTTCTTCATAATCTTTTCTACTTTTTTCACGACATCGTCTTCTACAGTCATCGCATAATTTGAAGTTTTCTGAAAATTCCCACCATTCACGCATTCTCTGACAACCTCTACAATATCTTGAACTTACCATGGTTATAGATATATGTTATTATCCCTTTAGGCATATACCATATATCATAAACTTTTTTAAACATATTTTTATCTTCATTTCTTTAGATATGTATCATATATCTTAACTAATAGAATTATTATTTTCATACAATTCTATTAGTTCTTTTTGTAGTTCAATTTGTTTTTCTAAATACTTCATTTCCTTATCTAAATGTTCCTGTTCTTCTTTTTCTATAACGCATTTTTGTTTTATTTCTACAATTTTGTTTTCCCTACTTTCTTTGATAATTTCTAGTTTTTCTAATTCGTGCTTTGCCTGTTTGTAAAGTATTTCAAATAATTCATCTAAAACGGATGATTTCATATATATAATACTATATATTTTAGTTTTTAAAACTTTTAAAACTTTTGAAAAATAAATATTTCAATAAAGATTATTTATTTATTGAAATATTTTGAAGCTTTTATTTTCTAAATATTTCGTCCCTATACAAATTTTTGAGTTCCTTTAGATATCCCTTTTTCATTTCCTTATCACCTGCTGACTTGATCCAATTGTTATATATTCTTTTATAATTTCTGAAAGTTCTAGTGCTTATTGTATGTCTGTTATTTGCTTCTTCAAATACTTCTCTCAATTTTTGTATACCTATCTTGCTTGGTTTGATTAATGTAGGTTCGTCCATATCTTGCTCTTCTACTGTTCCTTCCTTCATAATTTCTTTTCTAGTTAGGGGAGTTTTTCTTGGAACATTATGCGGTGTTCTATCCTTAAATATATCATTAAATAAATTTATCAATCGTTCTTCTTTTTCGTCAATAGAACCGCCTTTATTGTTTTCATCAATAACTTTATTAATTTCTGCATCATCTACTATTGATAATTGATTTCTTATTTTTGCTATGTTGAATAATGATTTTAATGTTAGTATATCAATATCTTTTGGGTTTATTCTTGAATAGTCATGAAGTGGTAGATTTGATAATTTATTTATAATTTCTGGATCGTTAATAGTACCCCATCCAGAAAATAAAACACCCTTTGAGTCTTTGTATAATTTACTAATATCGACATCTTTTTGAAATGGTGGCGGTTGTGGTGGTTCCGGTGGCGGTGCATTTCCGCTTGAACTTGACGATGCTCCTCCTTGTTGAAAATTAGGTTGTGGTGCTGGTTTTGGGCTTGGTTTTGCTTTTGGTTCCGCTGGTCTCTGTGTTGGTGTTGCTGGTGGTGTTGCCTTTGGTATTGGTGGTAATTCTGCTTGTGTTGGTTGGCTTGATGATGCAATCGGTAACGGTTGTTGAGTGGCTCCTACATTTGGTTGATGCGGTTGTAAAACTATTGAAGGTTCTAAGTATTGAGTGTTTGGTATTGGAGTTGGGTCATATGTTGTATATTGTCCGTCTCTGGCTGTTCCTGAAAAATCTAATAATGGTCTAGGCTGTGGCAATAATCTATTCATTGCTAACTGTGCCACTTCTTGTGAAAGTCCAGTAGCAAGAGATGAACCAAAATCCATACCAGACATCATATTTCCTGCAACATTGCTCCCTACTCTTAAAGCCCCACTTCCTACACTTAAAGCCCCGCGTCCTACTCTTAAAGCCCCACTTCCTAGACTTCTTAAAATTCCCGATCCTCCTTCTTCTTCTCTTTCTAACTGTTGTTGATGGGCTTGATAAATTGCTTGTTGGTTGCTTTGTTGTGCAGTTGCTATGTTTCCTAATGTTTCATTTATTTGTGATAATTGTTGCTCTGGTATTGTGCCGAATTCTTCAATAGTGGATGCATCAGGATCAGTTGCTATATTGTACATCTCTGGCTGTCTTGGTTGTTCTGGTTCAGGTCTGTCGTGTTGCGTAAATGCTTTATATGTTGTATCATTATCTGACGCATATTGTCGTTTCATGAGATCCCTAGCAATTGCTTCAGCGATTTGTTTTTCTTGAATTTTCAATTTATCTAAATGATCTTTTCCATCAAATCGTGTTCCTTTATTGCTCTGTTTATAAAATACAGCATCTCTATTAGGAAAGGGTTTTAACGCGTCTTCGTTATCATTGACCAATTCCAAAATATCTTCGTATCTAGATCTTCTATGAAATTGTATTCCAGCATTTTTAACTACCATTCTTTTTTATATATTGTTTTAGAAAATAGACTCGCTTAATTCGCTTAATGTTTGAACCCTTTTTTCCAGATGTTTTACTGAAGCATCGGGTATTCGTGGATTATGTATTTCCCCTTTCAATCTTGCTATTTCGGTTTCATAATTTGCTTTCATTTGACCCTCCAATAGTCTCCGTTTAAACGCTAGATTTTTCTCTTTCGCCTCTCTCGCTTCTAATTGTTTTTTCAAATTCAATAGATAGTCCAGATTTTGTTGACGATATACCAGATCTTCGGATGAATTTACCACAGGATTATCTAATGATTTTTTCTTATGTTGTTTTATATTTTTTTGAAATTTAAACCTATTATATAGAACCATTTGTATATATTATTATTTAGATTTTTTACTTCTAGCCTGAAACATAGCTTTACACATATTGTCTGATTTTTCCTGTCTTCTTCTCATAATTTCGGCGTTCATTGATCTCATTTGTAATTGTAATAATTGCTGTTGCGTTAAATTTGCATAAGGGTTCAATGGTTGTTGCTGTTGTATTTGTTGTTGTGGTTTAGGAGGCATTGCTTTAGAAAGAGGTTGTTGTTGTTCTTGATATTGTTGTGGTTCTACTAAATTATTTTCTTGTGGTTCTGGTGCTAATGGTTCAACATTTATTTTTGTTTTTTTTCTAGGTGCATATTTTTTAACTGGTTTATCAATAATATTACTCGGTTTTTTTTCACACACGCTAGGATGGCTATATCGTAATGTTTTAGTTGTCATAGGTTTTTTACAGTCTTTACATTCTGTAGGATTTTTTATAACTTCTGTAATTTTTACTCGTTTTTGTTCTTCTTCAACAAGTTCATTTTTTTCAACTTCCGTTTCTGGTGGTGCTTCAGTTGCTTCGTTTTCAGGTTCATCGTTAGCTACAACATTTTCTGAATTTTGTTCTGACATATATAACATTCTATATATTTTCTATTCAAAATTACATAGCGTCTGTATTATGGAAGAGTAAAGAAAAACTTAAATTAACACCGTTGAAATTTATAAGGTTGCCTACTTCATCAGTTATTCTAAATGTTAGTTTTCTTATTGAACGACGCGAGACATTTACATAATCATAATCCGTGACACCGTAAGGATCATTTATAATACTAGCAAATGAAGCATTTACAGGAATTTTTTTCACTATGGCATTTGAAAATGTTGAGGGACTGTGAAAATTATTATTTGATAATTCAGGACACGATATATAAATGTCTTGATGTGCTAATAAATTTATAAATCCAGAAACCCACGGAACGACAGAAGTTGAAAAATCTTGAGGGTATGGTGTGTTTAAAACACTGTTTATACTGTTTAAATTGTTTAGATCAACGTTATTTGAAAAAGACCCTATATAACTTGCAATCAAACTATCGGGAAGAACTAAAAATATTATTTCTGCAAAGTTTGTTTCAATAATTATTTTATTTAAAATTGTATTGTATGTAACCGTGTATGTATTCTGTCTACCTGTAACATCAAAGAAAAAATTTAATTCTCGTTGTATTGTAGATGCCAGTTCGGGAGGTGTGTAATTTCCTAGCGGTATTTCAATTCTTAAATAAGTTGTTCCTGTTGGCGTTGCAGGTGCTAATACTCTGTGTTCAAAATATAAATTTCTATTATTTTCGTTTATTGAATACCATGTGTTAGGAATTGCTAACTCGTGAACTTGCATAATCGTCCCGTCGGGGATTTCAAATGTTTCCCTTAATTCTATTTGAAAGTCGCTGATACCGCGACTATTTGATGTGCGATATTTTGAATTTACATAAACTTTTTTATATGTTAATGGTCTGATACTCATATTACTATATTTTTAGTTTAGATAATATATATTTCATTTTTTCATTTTTCTCCTGTTCTTCTCTATTAGTCTTTCATTTAGTTTAGGATTTTGATTGTATCGTTGCTCTACAAATTTTTGATGATAAGGAGTGTTTATATGTTTTATTCTATCCATAAATGTTTTTTCAACATATGTTTGTCCACATGTTCCACATATAATTTTCTTACCTGCTTTTTCTAATTTCTTCTCTTTTTTTTCTTGTTTCTTTTCCGTCATATATAACATTGACAAAAAATAATTTATAATCTTTTTATATAATGACAAAGATTGAAGGACAGTTAAATAAGATGTTGGAACACAACGGCAAAATATCAAATACTCAAGGTATCAAATATGCATATGATCGTGATAATAAAATTTTTGTAAAGGGAAATAAAATGTATGTCGCGGGGACAACATCCGCAAGAGACTGGGAACAAAATTTCACAAAATTAAAAACTGGCGGAATTAGAGATATGGATCGCTACAAGGAAGCAAGGCGGGTATTAATGGAAAATCCACAAGTGAATACATTATTAGGGCACAGTATGGGCGGTAGCGTTGTTTTAGAATTGAACAAAGAATTTAAGGATAACAATTATAAAACGAGAACATATAATGCTCCCGTGGTAAGTTTTTTTGCTCCTATTTTTGGTTTAGATAAACCGACGGAACAGCACAAACGATTTAGAATGACAGGCGACCCCGTGAGTGCTTTTGATAACGCGGCTATAAGTTATGATGCTAAAACTTTAAATCCTATAGCAAGTCATGATATTGACCAATTAGAAGGTATTGATGAAAGAATAAAAATATTAGGTATGTATTAAATTATCTAAAACAATATAATATAATGCTTAACAAGGTCAGAAAATCAAAAGAACAAACAAGAATAGGAAAAATCCCCGAGAACATTCAGTTCAAAAATAAAATTACAAAAAGTATAAATAATTCATCTTATGAAATGATCAGGGGAATTGTAGAAACCGATATGAATGCTGTAGCGCAACCACAGCTAGAAAAACAAATTTCTAAAAATATTAGTAATTTAAATTCACATAAAAAATATAGTAATAATAATAAAAAATCTAAATAATATATATAAAATGGATTTAGTTATAGCAGAAACTCAGGATAATATGATAAATTCCTTACAGTTCGGTCTTCCAGAAAGCGCCGCGTATATTACAGATCGTAAGCAAGTCCACTTTCCTAGTGTATCCGGAAATGTATTTAGTAGCACCAATGGCAATAAATATATTAAGTTTGTTATCACAGGAGAAGACAATAATTATATTGATATGTCTAGTATTTGTTTATTTTTTGATCTTGTTAATGATGATCCAGATGCAAACAAATTTTTAAGACCACTAGGAGAAAGTCATGCATTTTTTACTCGTTATAGATGCAACGCGGCAGGACAGCAAATTAACGACATTGACAATTATAATTTAGTATGTGAAGAAATGAAGTCTTTTAAATCTGAAGAAGTAAGAAATTTAGACGATATTCAGGAAGGATGCTTAACAAGATATGATAGCACGATTAATAGACTTTATGCTTTTGTAATTGAAGACCATGATGCAACGGAAAATGCTCCGGCAAATGATAGAGGAGTTGTTTTACCAAAATTAACACGACTTAACACAACAGGAATTGCACAAAATAAATTCGTGAGGATGGGACATAAACCATGCTGTGGGTTCGTTCAATCTGGATATTATCCTCCAATTCGGTATTGTCCGTTGGAATTTATTTTTGAAATTTGTAGCGATCCTCAAGAACCGGTAATCAATCCAGCAACACAGGGGGCAAGTGAAGCCGAAGACGATGTAAACGGTTTATATTTTACGACAAGAAATACCACTACCTCGTGGAAAATTCAAAATTGTATCCTTCGCTGTGAATTAATAACTGTCGACAATGCCGTTAACAATAACGTGGTTTCACATTTACTAAAAGGTGGCCGTTTAAGAATGGTTTATCCCGCCTATCACAGTTTTTCTCAAACTTTCGCGGCAGGAAATACTGAAATCAATATGAATATTGTTAAATCATCAACGAGATTGTCTCAAATGTTCTTTACCTTAAGCAATTCAGACATTCAAACTAATAATGTAAAGGATAAATTCACATTCAAGAAATGGAATTATTTTTATCATCCTATGAAAGTTACCATTGATAATGTTCGGGGTGTAGTTGATAGCGATAAACAAATTTCATATTATGTTCAGATCGCCAATAAAAAGTTCCCAGAACAAGCGATAGAAAGTATAGCAGAATCAATGTATTTCCTACGCCGTGCAGTTAATGTTATGTCTCCGTTTTACGATGGTTTCTCAATTGATATTTATAGATACACTAACGACAAGTTTATTGGTGGCATTAATTTTGATAAACAGCCGGATATGAATTTCACCGGTTCCAATACTAAAATGGGAAGCTTATTGACTTTTAAATTGAAAGGTGCAAATGCAACTTTTGCATTAGGAGTTGAACAGGTTTATGTTACATTAGTGAGTGAACATGTTTTTGAATTAAGCGAAAGTGCCAGCA